AGAGCTATGCAGTCGGCTCTGTTCAGGTAACAAATTCAAAAGCTGCTAAGACAAAGGTGAATCCTAAATTGTCACATAGCTGCTGTCTTTGAGCGGCAGCCTTGAGCCATTTCATCATGTCTTGAGCAGGATGCTAAATTAAATATTTTGATGCCTAGCTATTAGCTTCACCATTCCAGTTAATCCAGCTGCTGACATGGTGCATGCCTAGCTATTAGCTTCACCATTCCAGTTAATCCAGCTGCTGACATGGTGCAAGTACAGATGCTTTCCTGAAAATATACAGTGATGTTTCTTAGGTATGATACATTCTTCCAATGTTATAGTGTGTCTTTACTGAGAATTTCTGAAACTTTAAAAGGTGAAGGGGAGCATGAGAGCTAGCCCAATTGTCATCAGAGAGGCTTCATCCAGCAACTGATGGAAACAGATCCAGACACGCACAGCAAAACATTAGGCTAAGCTTGAGGAATCTTGATGAAGAAAGAGAGGAGGGATTGTAGGAGCCAGAGGGGTGAAGGACATTAGAAGAAAATTCACAGAATCAACTAACCTGGGCTCATAGGAGCTCACAGAGACTAAACTGACCGCCAGGCACCGTGCATGGGTCTGACCTGGGCCTTCTACATATATAAGACAGTTGTGTAGCTTGGTCTTCTTGTGGGACTCCTAACAGTGGGAGCAGGGGCTGTCTCTAACTCTTACTGGTTTTTGGAATCCTATTCCTCATGCTGGGTCGCTTTTCCCACCCTTAATACAAGGGGAGGTGCTTAGTCTTTCTGCAACTTGATATGACACATGTTGTTGACATCAATGAGAAGCCTGCCCTTTTCTAAATAGAAACAGAGAAGGAGTCGATGGGTTGGCAGAACAGAAGTAGATGGGAGGGACTGGGAAGAGAGAAGGGAGGGGAGACTGTGGTCGGGGTGTAAAGTAAGGGAATAAATTTAAAATAAAATAATAAATTTTTTTCAAATTAAAAGAAGTATTCAAGTACATGAGCCTGTACAGGACATTTTACATTAAAATCATAACATTTTGCCTCAACCTTTATGGACTCAGGTCCATCTTGTGATGCAAAACTCATTCTACGCAACTTAAAGAGTCCTCATCCCCAGTAATATTAAATGGTAGTTTTAACTGAGACTAGATGCAAACTCTTAACTGGGAGCACCTTAAAATATTAATTAATTAATGCTCCTATGCATCCAATATACAATGGCTTTAGAAAGGAGTGGAATCATAGGATCAAAAGGAGAGATCAGACCAAAATCTGGCAGGCGAACATTGAGTTCCGCATCTCCCTGTCCAGAACCCTAAGCATATGGTGACATCATGTGGGTGACAATGGGATTGGTCAGCCCCGCCATATGCAGCAAACATGGCCTCTGTTGAGTTGCTGCTTTCTCTGGTGGATGTTTCAGGCTCTGTGAAGCTCCAACAACCTGAGGTCGCCACTGCAACTTTGTCTTCATCTTCACAAATTCACAGGGAATATGTTTGAGTGCTCCAAAAAAAAAAGGGTCTAGCTGTGCTACGCATTGCTTGTCTACACAGAATTCTTTGATTTTTTTTTTTTTTTGGAACCTTAGCATAAGCCTCCATAAACCCCTAACTCTAGCATTCATCATGGCTGCAATGTCAATACTGCGTGGGCAGCACCTTGGGTAGGACAACACTGTTGCTGAGTGTCTAGCTTCCCAGGCAGCCCTGTTCCTGTTGGAGCAGACAGCCCATGATGTTTGTGATCTTAGACACTCTCTTTTAAAAGAAATTTTTCAATGGAATTTGGATTTTTTTAATCCTAGAGCCTTTCATGAGTGGGTCTGGCCCTCTAGGCACTTTTCCTATCATCCCAATGCCAAGTTCCAGGTTTCCCTGAAGTGGCACACCTGCCTTGTCCACAACTTTAATGGGTTAATGTTCCTTTGCTTGATGAAGTATCCGTTTGTCACATCTTCCTGCTTTAGCTTCTTAGTATACATCTAAAAGTAGTGAACAATAGCCATTCCACCGCCTGAATTTAATATGCTGTCTTGAAATGTCCTGAGTCAAATAAACTAGTCCATTGCTATTGAATTCAGTTTCACTCAGGTTTTCAGAACGTGAGAAAAAAATGCAGCCATATTTTTTTTTAACCAGGAAGTAGCATGAATGCTTTCTAGTCCAATTCCTTTGCACCCATCTGAAACTTCATGATCCAGGTCTTCATTGTCCACAGCATTCTGATCTCCAAAATTTCCACCAAAATGACCCATTAACCTCCGCTCACAGTGTAGTGGGGATTGCCTAGCCAATATTAAACTTTCCCATATTCTTCCTGGGAACTGGCTAAAGAGGACTGTGAGCCAACCACATGGTCAAATTTACCACAGCAGCAATGCTACCTCTAATCAGTTACTTCTCTCAATCTCTATGACAAAATACCTGACAAGATCAACTTCAGGGAAGAAGGATTTTTTTAGGGGTCAGGTAGCTGATCCTCTCAGGCCATTTCAGTCCATTATGAGGCAGACGACAACACCCCCTGCCCATGGCAATAGGAGCTTGCTCCTGCTATCTTTTCTCTCAGTGACAGGCCCAGAAGCAGAAAGAACTGGATTGGAGCCAGGGCTGTACCTTGAAAGGCCTTCCTCTAACAACCAACCTTCCTCTGACGTTTCTGTAGCAATCTATAACAATACAAATCACTGGGAAATGGGTGTTTAGAGACATAAGCCTGTATGAGACACTTCTAACCACTGCCGTCCCTATGCAGCAAGACTCAATTCACAGAACTAGGTCATTGGCATCCACATAGAGTAGAGGAAACACAAACCCAACAAGAGACACCCCAATATAAATGGGTAAAAGTAAACCTATTTCAGTAAGATTGTGGATGGCAAACTCATGTCTACTCACTATCTGTAAGCATTTTTAAAACTGAATCTTTTGACTGATATTTGCTAGAAAAAATATGTAATGGTATAAGTATTCCTGTTGCCAAAGTCTAAGAAGGCTTGGAGAAAATATGATAGGAACATTTCTTTTAAGCAGGAACTCTGGAAATGATCAAAAATAAAAGGTCAGCATAGAAAACTTAGTCAGGAATACATGCATAGACACAAAATAAACAGTTTAATGAGATTTCAAAACAGGAAAATTTTGCCTCTTCTTTAGAGTAACATTTCAAGATGATGACTAAGCTATAATGTGACATACTGACATTATCTAATGGGGCAAAAGCAATTATTCAATGAAAAGTTTTTAAATTTCGTAACTTTATTTTTTCAAATGACAAAAGATAAAAAGCCCCATTCATAAAAGGAGAGTACTTTATTTAAGGTGATAAGAAATTTCTGGTTAAAGACTTATCTCTACAGTATAACATTATTAAAAGTAACTTTTGAAGGCATGGTAGACTAAACTTTAAAATCTGTATATGTCAGATATGTGTGCATAAATACAGACTGTGTGCATAAATATGTTTGGAAACACATACAGGGAGAGAGAGAGAAAGAGAGAGAGAGAGAGAGAGACATAATGACAAAACACAGTTGCTTAAGGATATATTCAAACCAGGAGACAAACAGGTAAATGTCTCCTGCAAAAGTTATGTGTTAGCCTTTTCCCTAAATGCATATTCAATAAAGAAAATGTGTGATTAAGTATGGTTTATTTATTAACAGTTCTAAGATTGTTCCAGGTTTATAAATTTTCTCTCTGTGTCAAAGCACTTTGTACTTGGTCATCATGCATAACTGTTTAGTTAAGCAGTTACACTTTGTGAGGAGCAGGCCCAGCCCTGTGCTTAGCAATAACTGTCAGTCGCCTGGGGTCTCCTCGGTTGCTGGCTCAATCTCTCTTTCAACAAAATACAAGAAGTGAAGGAGGACACTGTTGAGAGTTATGAAGCAACCAGTTATATTTAAATATATTAAATGCTTTTAAATTTAAAATTACAATGAGTGGCCATATAGCCGTCTTAAATTTGTTATGAATTGGAATGTGGTGATGGCTTTAACAACCACCATAACTTCAAAATCACAGTGAGCCTGAGTGAACTTTTGAGAGATTTGCAGTGTTAATAGAGTTGTGGGATGCTTTACTCTTTTGGCTTTTTGAAGGGCCCACCTCCTCACTCCCAAATAAATCACACACAGAGTCTTAGTGTTACTTAAGAATGTCAGGCCTTAGTTTGTTTCTTGCCAGCTTTTCTTATCTTAAATTATCCTGACTACCTTTAGCTTCTGGGCTTTTTCCTTTTCTTACTTCAGTAATCTTACTTTGACTCTACTCCATGGCTGGCTGGCTGGCTGGTCCCTGATGTTCTCCTCTGCTTGTTCTCTAGTTGCTCTCCCTCCTTGGTTCTCCTTATATTTATACTCTCTTCCTGTCAGCTCCGCCTATCCCTGTTCCTGCCTTGCTATTGGCCATTCAGCTCTTTATTACACCATCGGGTGTTTTAGAAAGGCAAAGAATCACTGCTTCACAGCATAAATAAAAGTCGTGCACCTTAAAATAATATCCCCCAACATAATAGGCTGCAAAAATAAATAAATAGCTGTGGTTTCTATTAGTGAATAATTCACAGTTATTGTTAAAAACTAACACAGCCTTTTTCATATTCCTAAATGAAAGAAATCTTACATTTTAGTGAGAGATTAGTGAAAAATGTAACTTTTTTCTCCATCCATGCTGGTGTAATTTTATAGTACAGATACACAGGTCTTCCACAATATGAGCAATAATAATAATACTTACTTACTTTTGGGAAGAAAATATGTCTCCTGTTCCTTCTGGAGTCACTGACACCATGTATATAATCTTCACAATGCTGAACTTTTAAGGAGAGAAACAAAGCTAAATATTAGGCATTTTAAAATCACGTGTGGATTGTCAGGGTACAAAGTGGTTTGTAGACTACATGACATGGAGGGAAACTACTAGAGAATTTAGTGATAAAGAGAAAGAAATGGGCACTTCTGTGCCAGGCACTGAACTGGGCATCTGAGAAGCATCACCTCTTAATCCTCAGAACATTCCAGGGAGTTTTACAGAATCCCATCTCCTGGGCCATGAGTGAACTGAAGGACTGCCCATTGCAATTCCATGATTTCAAGTCTGTGGACCACCTGAAGGTCTGTCCCCGGTACACGGCAGTACTGGCCCGCTCCGAGGACGATGGCATTGGTATTGAGGAGCTGGACACTCTGCAGCTGGAGCTTGAGACCTTGCTGTCCTCTGCAAGCAGGCGGCTGCTTGTACTGGAAGCTGAAACCCAGATCCTTACTGACTGGCAGGATAAGAAAGGTGACCGACGATTCCTGAAGCTGGGTTGAGACCATGAACTTGGTGCTCCCCCCAAACATGGGAAGCCCAAGAAGCAGAAACTGGAAGGGAAGGCAGGGCATGGACCAGGCCCTGGCCCAGGACGACCCAAATCCAAAAACGTTCAGCCAAAGATCCAGGAATATGAATTCACTGATGACCCAATTGACGTGCCTCGGATCCCCAAGAATGACGCTCCCAACAGTTTCTGGGCCTCTGTGGAGCCCTACTGTGCGGATATCACCAGTGAGGAGGTACGAACACTAGAGGAGCTCCTGAAACCTCCTGAAGATGAAGCCGAACATTATAAGGTAGAAACCCTGAGCCATAGAACCCTGAGTTATAGAACAGGAGGGCTCAGAGGTGCCTCGGAATCCTAGGCAGCAAAGTCCACATCATCTACTTCCTTCCTTCCCAGCCTCCTGCCTGCTGCATTACCCCTGCAGACACTGAGGTTCAGCTTTCCCTTGCTACCCCCACCTCAGCCAAGTGGTGCGTCTGTCTGTCAGTGAAGTTCATCCTGTCCGCTTGCCTTTATCCTAAGAGCCTCTGAACATGCTCCTTGCTTTTAGACTTCAGCAACCGATTTCTTTCTGTACTTAATATATAAAAGTTAAGTTCCTGTTTCATTTCTAAAAAAAAAAGAGAAAGAAATGGATCAAATATGTGCACATCTTTTAATGGCATACAGAAAGCCTAAGCTCAGCCACTTACAAGGTTGTCTGAAGATTTCAGAAAGGTGCTCCCGTGCTTCTGTGTCCAATTGCTCTCTCTGGACTGTCTACAGAGTCCATGGCACACACAAAAAGGATTATGCACATTGGATTAATAATTCCAAAATTTACACCATAAGTGTGGCAAGGTAACTCAGTAGATGAAGGCACCTGAATATGATCCTCCAAGACCCACATGAGAACCAATTCCTAGAACTTGTCCTCTAATCTCCACACATGCATTTGCAGTAGGTACACACACACACACACACACACACACACACACACACACACACATAAAATGTAGTAAATTACAGATATAGTGAAAACTAGATTAATTACATAATTGGGAGGGAAGTCAGAGAGAGGCAGGAAGGAAAAACTGCCTTTGGTTCTCCTACTTTTCTAGAACAGTCTTTAGAATGCTCCTCAATAGGTGTGCTATGTTGCTGATCCAGCTGGAAGTTATGGACAAAGATCAGAAGAGAATCTAAGTTGAACAGAAGATTAGATATTTGGCATTCCTCATACCAGGCATGTGTTGTGGATGAGCACACTTCCTATGCATTGTGCCCTTAAACAGCAGCATCCTGTTTCCATTTATGCCCAGTGTGTAGTGAGTGTGTCTAGCCACACAGTGTAAAACTGAGGAGCTCTGGCATAAGATGTCAAAGAGATTTGATCTTTAGCAAGTGACTAAATCTCTCTATTAAAAACTCATTTTATTCATGTGCATTAAGAGAGTAATAGTAGCATGACTCAACCAGGTTGTTATGGGAAATGTACACATGGTACATGGGAAGCAGAGAATATTCTTTCATTTTTAATCTAAAACCTATTCAAAGCCAATTTAATTCTTTCCTCTAGGCTGCTGAGACAAAATACCCACAACAATGTGTGATAGCAAAGTAAAAATTCATTGTCTTGCATCTGAAGTTCAGAAATCTGAGAATTAGATATTGGCAGGACCATGTTCCTCTGAGCTAAGACACAAAAGGATTTGTCCCAGGCTTTTTACTGTCCCTAAGCTAGAGACAGCATTATGCCAGTCTTTGTATCTGGTTTTCCCATGGTACCAGTATGTCTTCGTGTGTGTGTGTGTGTGTGTGTGTGTGTGTGTGTGTGTGTGTGTGTGTGTTTATTGGACAGGAGTCCTCTCCACTCTACTGTACTCTACTCTAGTGTGAGTTCATCTTACTGTATCAACTATTTAACAACCCTATTTCCAGACAAAGTTATATTTTGAAGTACTAGGAATTCCGACTTTATTAAATGAATATGAATGATACATAGTATAACCTACAACACCTAATTTATGCCTAACAACTCTGGAACCAACAGGACAGGATGAGTAAACTGTACTTAGAATGTTTGTGGTCTAAGTGGGGAAATCACACAAAACCATTTGAAAGGCCTTCAAAGAAGTGTAACAATGGATTAGATCTATGATCCTCAAACATTTTGGTCTCATGATTCCTCTTGGTCTCCAAAGAGGTTTTGTTTGGGGGGTCCACATAGCTACCAGTAGGCATCATTTTTTAAATTGTAAAATTTTTCAAATTAAAATATTGGCAACACATTTTGTGATTCTTGTGAAAATATTAAGATTAGCATCTATAGACATATACTTAAAAATATAAAAACATTTTGTTGACACTCAAACAATGTAATTTTTAATAACATAACAGAATGTCAGTTCCAGTGGTCATTCAGCATCATGCTTAATGGCCAGCAGATGGCTCAATGGGTAAAGGAGCTTGTCTCTAAGCCTGATGACCTGAGTTTTATCCATGAGACCTACAAGATGGATAAAAGTGACATCTACAAGTGCTCCATTTGTGCATACACACACATTCTCTCTCTCTCTCTCTCTCTCTCTCTCTCTCTCGCTCTCTCTCTCTCTCTCTCTCTCTCTCGCTCTCTCTCTCTCTCTCTCTCACACACACACACACACACACACACACACACTATATCAATGTAAAAGTATAATAAATAAATATAGATTATGAGTTGTTTATGATGTGTGACTTTCTTCTATAGTGGAAAATCATGCTTAGTCAAACCAATAGCAAAATATGGAAGAACCACATATGGACTGAGAGATAATTCATTATTTCATGCCTATAAATAACTATTTCTCAACTTAGGAGTCCCACAAAATCAACTTGGAAACTTTAAACATTTGAAGACTGCATGTCATTCTCCAGCCCCCAAAACCAGTGTTTGAACATGGGTTCTACTAATTAAGCAAGCTACAGTATTCATGAATAGTCAAAACCAAGGAACACAAATATGATACATTTGACTCAAGTCAGAGTTGAGGACATGTTCTTTAAATGAAGATAAACTCAACAAACATAGATTTTAAATTCATCCTCCCTTCCTATTGCTCAGAGTCCTCAGCCTGAGCTTGTAATCTTCATTATGAACCAGCATGAATATGCACGTCATAATAATTTCACCTCTACAGGAATGGCCGAGCTATATGAGAAAGAAAAGTTCAGCTCTTGATACTTTGGAAGACTCCCAACATTCTGTCCAGCAGAAAGGTTCCAGTGTCAAATGACATTGTTCCCTACAAAACTAAATTAGAGTGTGACCTCAAATGTTAATATACTCAGAGTTTTCCTCTCCCCTTAGAAGCCAAATATTCACAACAGTCATAAAATCTGCATTGTCCTGTCCTCCTTGGTTTTCTGAGGCCATCGTAACAAACTACAAAATTAAAGAAAAGAACATCTCCTGAAGGAAAGTTATAGTCTTAAGAAAACGTAAGCTTCAACTAAACATCATGGATAACGCATTTATACCTAATAGGTGTGTTGTGGTTCACAAATTTACAGTACTTTTCCACTTCCACACTGATTTGATTATCATGGCATTTTAAATAACTATCACTCATTTTTTTTCTATTTCTGAAAAGGAACTAGAGACAATGGGAGGTTGAGCCATCCAGTGTCGGTTAGTGGTACAGCTAAACTCTGGTCGTTCCAGGAAATCCTCAGTCCTTGCTGCTCAGCCTTTGAATGAAGATGTGTCAGTGTTTCTTAAGCCTTGCAGACAAAATAAATACATCTGCTTTTAAATTTTACCTACACATTATTCCACTTATAAGTCAGCAAAGTTTAATTTGTTCACTCTAATAGCACTTTGTCAGCAAAGATAATCAGCAGTGTTCATTTATTTTTCACTAACAGCAGCTTGATTGCACGGGGAAAACCAGGTTGGGGCAGATTTCTCAAGTGGGAGATAGAACTTTGAAGCTATTTCTGTTCACAGGATCAACTCTGTAGCAAAGCAAAAGGTAAAACAGAAAACTCCGTCATCTACACATGCAGTCATTCCTTGAAGCCAGTTCTGAGGCCAATAAGGAGACAAAGGGCTAAATGAGAGAAAGAGCAGCTAACATTTCACCTGAGATTCTGGTCTGACAGAGAATGTAAGGATGGCAGCCCACAGAAGAGGTAAAACTTTGTCTCAAAGTGATGGATATGAATGAGACTCAGTCAATGTTCCATTTCAAACATTTCAAACATCTGTGGCTCTTTGTGATAACTGTGATAACAGTTGTTAGTCTCTGCAGCCGTTTTCGTGCAGGGGTTAAAGGGAAACAGCACCCAGAGAAAGAAGGTGGGAGGGACCCCTCTTTTTTATCATCCTCCAAATAGTGGTCCAATTTCAGAAACTAAAACACATGAAGATGGACAGAATGAGAGAGCCGGGGCAACTGAAAAGCAGATGCTTTGGAGAGATGGGCAGGATTTTTGCAGCAGGTGTGTTTATCATATTGAAAGCCGAGTCTAATTGAATAAAAAGAGTTTTTAAAATAGTGAGCCATTAATTAGGCAGCATGGAGTTAAAGCATGGCGTTCGGTAATGTACGAGGCTTTTGGGAGCCTCGGCAAGCACTTATCGATTCTGTCAGGGTGCCAGAGGAACCAGGAGCCCAACGTTCACCCCTTCTGGAAGCTACCTGATTCATTTGGAAGTGGCTTCCCTGCATAGCCTCTGTTCAAATCACCCCATAATTACCCTGGCACTGTGAGCTGCGAACTTGGCGGGCTCTGAGAGATATCAGATGTTTTTCTCATGCTTGCTGAACCTCTCTTAGACAAATTTTGCATTGTTTTTTGTGTCAGTTTTATCGCGGAACATCATGTTGCCATCTGGGAAGAAAAACAACATGGTAGGGAAGCAGCTGGTGAATGGCAGTGGCCAAATAAACATTGGCAGGCACCGGCCATTAGGTGAGATAAGAGGGATGGGCAGCGGCCAGCACCAGTGCTCCCTCACCGCTGGAGCATCGGTCACTGTCCCCTTCTTGATTATCTTCACTCAGATTCACGGAAATTTTTCACCCAGCAGCCCGGGATGTGTCAGGTGCAAGGCCTTCCCTTCTCCGCCCTGGAAGTGCAAGATAGGAAGGCTGTATGCCAGCTTGGATTCTCTTCTGGGTCAGGCAATGGATTTCTGAACCAAAAGGACCACCGGCAATGCCTTCACAGGACTGTCCCCCAAAGAATGGACGCCACTCGTATCCTCACCCTGCCCTTCAAACAATGCGGTGGCACTTTTTTAATCAGACACAGCTTTGTCACCGGTGTCAGCTGCTTTCATATCGCTAAGTCACTTTAGAATTACGTGAGGTAAACAAACTACTACGCACTTGTTTTTAGTAGCAAGGCAGAGGGGAGAGCTTAAACCAGCTTAGGAAAATTTCTCCCCGGACTCTCTTGCTTTGAAGAATTTTCTTCCATTTTAACTTTTCTCTTAAATTTTATTTTTAATGTGTCTCTGTGTGTGTGTGTGTGTGTGTGTGTGTGTGTGTGTGTGTGTCTGTTTCAGTGTGTGTATTTGCATTTGTGTCTATGTCTGAATGTTTTTCTGTGCATGTCTGT